CAAAATCACGATGAAAACGGCAACTAGAGACTAGAACGGCAAGAAGAAGACATAAACGCTGGTATCTATTCGCTTTGCACCGCGCACCCGGGCGAAGGGTGACTGGCTTGCATGCATTTTGATAACAAACACCTTACCACTCGAATTGCGCACGATATTGCGCGGAAAAATCAGGCTAAGGACATGTTGCTTCAAGTGGATGCCGGTACCATCTGTGGGTCTGTTGTATGCCTATAGTTCGAAGCAGTAAGGAAATTGTATTCTTGTTAATCCCGACGTTCTTCAGAGCATATAAAAGACCCTCAGATAGTTTCGACATCCGCTCAAAGCATCTCGTTCTAAGACAAGGTTTTGCACGCAATAACATGCGCAACTTCGAGTTGTAAGGCAATTGACATCGTGACGTATACAAGCCAGTCACCCTCTGCCAGGCTGCGCTGTACAGATCGAATATGTAACATGGCACTGTTCACCAGTACTGCTTCAGTGCAAGTGCACCTACACTGACAACAGTGGAAATATTGCCGCGCGCCACGTCACGCACACCGTACGTGCAGAGTAAGGCTAGCTAACGAACGAAGCGTTCAATAGGAGTAGAAAGTGAAACTGTATTGAATATGAGCAATTCCTGATTATATGTACCTATGTTTTAGTCCTAACTTAATCACATTCATCCACAAAAGTGTATGCTAAAGTCTTGCTCACCACTCATTGCGCGCGTCCATCGTTGTTTGGACCGCTAGAGTTAGCTGATATGATGGCCTAAATCAGAGAATTGGTAAGTGTTTCTGAATATTACCCCTTCTGGTAATGTCGATGAACATTACCAACCTTTATGATAACATTCTAATTTACAAGTATCAAGGTTGATCACGTGTAACAGGCTCACTCCATTACATCACCCGATATAACGATCGTCCCTTGGCTGCTATCATATTGATGTGGTCACCATTAGACCACACCAGGGACAGGGAGCACTTGTATTTGTACGATCATTCATTTCTGAATCTTCCTCGCATAGGTAACAAGTCTACGCAATGTGCGGCGGAAGATTCTGAGAAGGCAGCCACCCGTGGCAACGCAGCTGCTCTTGAATAAGCTTAGCCTCTCGTGGTAAACAATGCTTCATTTGCTGATGCTGCAAATCTTACTGCATCACCAATTGATGCTGAGGCGCGTGGTATGTCATCACGTGCTCATGATGATAATGGCTCCCGATAAAATCTCATCTATTCCGGGGAGTTGGACGGTTGGTCCAACTCGAAGACACTTAGGTCACCCGAGTCGGTAGGGGCGACCAAATACGAGCCTACGAATAGGAATTGAGTTAGTAGTCAGACTCATGGTTACGACAAGAGTTTTTTTGTGATGAGGATAAGTATTCTGACCCACCCCCTGCTCCTGCTACAGCGCGTTCGCTTCCTGGCGAATGCGGTGATGTTTTTTAATGTCGTGATGATAATAGTAATGGTACCAAGACTTTCGTTGGTACCACGTAGGAGGATCTAGACGGTAATGTGCTGCGTCTAGCCCCTGAATATAAGCCTTGAGTTCTACCAGAAAGGCTTGTGAATGACCTGTCTGACGAGACAAGTCTTCACCATCGCATTCTATTATTCAATGTGAGGTTGTTGCAGGGAATCGCCATCAGCGCTAGTAACAATTTCGCTGAATAAGACTTGAATCTCGATGCTTTTCTCAAGTATCGTTGGTACATCGACAATTACACGCAAAACAAAATCTCATTACTTCAGGCGTGGAACGCCTTCCTACACAACGTGCGGCACATCGTGCGTGATGACTGGCTTTGAAAACTTGACGCAGCTTGTGGCAGGTTTTAGAAATGAGCCTTGAGTAGTGCAAAAATAAGGTTGCACCAGCTGCCTCGTGAGGTAGGAAACCAGGCGTCGCGTGGGTCGAACCATGTCCGTGCCGTTTCAACAATACGCAATGTAACCAAAAGGATACGAACTCCCTTTCTTCGCCCTGGGGTAAGGCACACATGTCTTTTGAGATGGGCGATGAAATTGCTAACCTTACATCGCTCTACCAGCGCCATGAATGCGTGTTCATCAATGGACCTTCTGATACATCGGATGTGTCTCGCCTTACAGGTGGAAGAGGAACCCAATGTCAATCATCAGCTAGGCGCAAGGCTACCAGCTGTCATGCGACGGCGAATGTCCGCGCCAGCAAACAAGACAACTCATTCTCGGCCTCTTCACGTCACAATGGTTCGAGAAACGCTACACGTGAAAACGTTCCCCTTTGTGCGATTACACAAACGGCTGTGGTAGGGGGGAGATCAACTCCAAATTAATTGTTGGACGTGCAGACGGAGCTAGATCGTGATCAGCAATGTTTGCACAGTCTGTGCGATCGCACCGATCAAAAGAGACAGGAGCCTCTCTCTTTGGATGCGCGTGTTAAATGCCTCCGCATCTATCGGGATGATGACCAAAAGGAATTTGTGCTCAACCAATCGGAGAACGAGCGGAAGCTTCCAGCCTTTCGCGACGAAGTGGGTGACATTCGTCGCCAACATGCGGCATTACTGATCCAGATTGAGAAACTGGCTCGGGACCAAAAGATTTTTTGGAGGTTCTTTAGCGTGGAGAGTGCATTCGCCCGAGGAACCTTGTGCTGATTCTAAGGGCAGAGATGACCAAGATTAAACTTAGAATGCGCACGCATCGTGCGAGGCAATTCGTTTGCTTTACATATTGCCTTTGCGATGTAGTACACGAAATGGACCGATGCACTTAGGTAGCTTTTTTACTTACCCCCACATTAGTTACTACGTGCTTGGGTAGATTTGGGTAGACAGGAGGGTGAGTCTTCGACACGATATAACAGAACATTTGCTCTTCCATGTTTGCCAGAGTTCCGTTACTTCCAGTTCACCGCGTTAGCGATGAAATCTTGCATGAAGCGGACCGCTGTTTCTTGTGTCAGCAGGAAATCTTCTGCTGACCCACTTTGGTCTGTTGCAGTGTGACTTGTGAGCACCGCAAAGGGATAATCTTCTTCTTCAGCGAGGGTGTTCTTATCCTAGATGGTGTGGTCTTCAGAGATACTGAATATACCATTATCGTTGTACTCGTCTGGGTCAGCAATTGTAAAGCTGACCCTGACGCCGTCGAGAACCTCGAGACTTGATGAGTAAGAGCCAGAACGGTCTTCGATCGAGAACCTCCCTTATAAATCAGAGTCACACCTAAATAAGTGGATAGGCGTGGATGGAATAATCCATTCACGAAAAACGGTGTATGCGTTGTCGACGCATACACGGAGCTGATGATGGCGAACTACACCATCGGCAAAAGGTCGCTCCATTCTATGAAAGATTGAACGTATCCCTCAACTATCTTTAAGAGAACGCAGTTGACGAGTTCTGTCAGACCGTCTGACTCGGGACGGTCAGAAGTAGATATATTCAGACGTGTCCCGAGGGATCGAAACACGGATTGCCAAAACGCCGCTTGAATCGAGGGTCTCTATCAGAGACAAGCTTACGGGGCAGACGGTGAAGTCGGAATAACGTGTAAATGAAGACACGGGCATAGCCCTGTGCTGTGATTGACTCTGAAACGGCAGCAAGAACTATCACTTTTCTGAAGCAATGAAAAATACAAGATGACAATATTTTGTTAGCGTCTTCGAGAAACCCGAAGACGAAGTCCATTGAAACGGACGGCCAGCACTATACCGGGATCGGTAGAGGCTGTAGAGGCGCACAGGATGAAGAAGTAGGCTTTACCTGTTGGCACACATCCTAAGCACGAAATTTACTTATACACAAATTGATACTGGCCGGGCCAGTAAAATCAGCGACATACCGTGAGATAAGTCTTCCTACTACCAAGATTTCTACTAGACGAAGTAAATGTTTCTAGTAGAGATGCTCTAGCGCAAATCGTTGTGAGTAGGGTCGGCAATACATGATGTGTCGCTGGCAACAGCTGTATAGTGCAGCAACCCATTGTGTATTGTGTATCGATCTGCAGAGGATCGATACAAGGCCGGTAAAGATTTGAGTGATTTGCGAGATAGAACAACCATTTGATCCGTTAGTCGTAGAATAGCCTTACCTTTTACGTAGGCCTTTTTGATGTCGTCAAGCAATGTTGACGACGGAACACTAGTGACTAGTGTTGCAACTGTGGTGTCAACCTCACTGTTGGACTGCGCAGCCGACTCACAGTCGGGTCGGCGAGTTAAAGCGTCTGGGATGACATTAAGTCGTCCGGGTTTTTACTCCACGGAAAATTGGTACTTCGCAAAGAAGGTCACCCACCTCGGCATCCTTTTGCAAGATGTGTGGGCTGTTTAAGGCCGTGCGTAATGACGCATAGTCCGTATAAAGTACAAACCGCCTAACCTCAAGAAGATAGACTCGAAACTTCGACAGTGCGTACTTCATGACAAGAAGTTCTTTGTCATGCACTGAATAACTTTGCTCAGCTGCTTACAAATGACGATACTAATAGCAGACGACGCGCTCCGGGCCGTCTGCATCGTACTGCATCAACGCGCAGCCGATTGCCAAATTACTCGCGTCATTAACTACTTGAAATTGGGTTATACTGATCTGCAATTGCAAACAGGGGCGATTGTATCAATCTCTGCTTTTTATCTTCAAAGGAGCACTGACAATTAGCTTCCCATGACAGCGTCTCGATCTTACTAAAAAACGGGAGAATGAACGGTCATTATGGCGTAGTTGCGCGAGCACATGTGTCGGTATGCCGCGAGACCAAGGATCCTTTAAGTAATTTGACATTGACTAGCACATGAAAGTTGGTGATCTCCTTGATCTTTTCGGGATCAGCGCGTACGCCGTGTTTACCCACGTCTTACTCAAGAAGTGGTATTTCGATAGCAACGAATGTAATTGTTTTGAGGTTGGCATACAGATTATGCTTGCGCATAAGTGTAAGAAACTGACGAAAGTGTGTTCTGTGAACCTCTACATCTGTCTTTCCGCCCATATCCCGGCTTTAGACGAGCACATCGTCAAAGTTTCTCGGTGCGAAATCTTGCATCAGTCTCAACAGATTGTTTACACATCTGTTGAACGTTGCAGGGACGTTACTCATCCCCTGTTTCATCACTAGCCACTCCCACAGCATACCGCTGGGGGCGCTCACTGCTGTGTACGGGATATCCTGTTCGCGCATGAGAATCTGAAAGAAGCCATCCATCAGATCCATGGACGAGAAGATGGTACAATTTAATATACCATATATGATTACATCCTTCCTCGGTATCAGCACCTGAGCCGGTTCCGTTGCAGCACTCAACTTGTTGAGTGCGTGAGCTACCAGCCACCCTCCTATAGTTTTTACCCACAGAACGTTAAAAAGATGTAAGGGGAAGTTGATTTACTCAAATGGTCCGCTGCAAAGCGATCGGAAAAAAACTTGTCGATCGCTGCGACCTGTTCATGAGTCAGTGACCACTGCTTCATGACACATTACTTCGAGCTCGTTTTGAGCCCGATCTCATGTCGAGCGCATTTGTCCCTAGGCGACTCGCATGGCACGAATTCAGGAAAAACGTATTTGAATTCGATCAAATCCTTGTATAGAGAATTTGCCTTCAAAGACTCCTAAGATTGAGGCGTGTACCGCTCAATCTGAGTCTTCTCATCGAGGATACTTTCGTCCATCCAATGCTGTAATGCTGAGAACCCGTTCACGTCGGCAAATACCACTGCTGACCGGATGTCGGTCACTTCCTCGTACTCTGTGAAAAGTACACAGATCTGCATATCTTCGCCACTACGCAGATCTAGCTAGTACCGTCTCGTTTCTAGCGTTGGCAATTGTGTGATCTTCGAAGTCAACTTTGGAGGTGCCGTTTGATTAAATGCATAAGCGCCTACACTAGATCCGTCTTAAGGGGTTTCCAGAGAAGAAACCGATACAAAAGGACATTCAATGTATCGGTATCTTCATTGGAAACCCCTTTCCACAGGCTTTTGGGAACTTACTACCTTAGGATGATGAATTCTCATCAATTCATCAACAACTGCTTGATATTTTTTCGTAAGTACGTGGGGACTTATTCGCTCGACGTCTTCGAGCTGTGGTTGCGCTACCACAGCTAGGTCCTCCACGATTGACTATCTAGCCGATTAAGGATCATCGTGTTGCCCAGTGTGGGCAACCGGTTTGTTCTTCTTTGGAAGTCGCCCGCTAGGCGTACAATCATGTCCCGATGCACTCGACTTCTTCGAGTGGTTGGCCTTTTACCCTGCCTGTACTTCTGCACAGCCGCCGGCAGCTCCCTACACAGTATGATTGGTTGTCACACTGCGATCTTGTGCAGTCATACGAACGACCGTACCTCAATCTGGGCCATCGCACTCACTCGCAGTATATCCACACGCTTGAAGACGCTCTAAGACGTTCATCAGATGGCCATCTGATCAACAAGTAGCAGGCATCTTCACGATTTGATGCTACCAGCAAAACCTTGGTTCGTACCTTCTGCACCAAGGCAACCCTAGGATGACATCTGACTTGTCCTCAAAAACAAGCACGATAAAATCATCATTGTACTGAAAACCCCCTAGCGTGTAGTAAAGTCCCACTACACGTTTCGTCAATGTTGTCAATGAACCTGTTGCTTGGTGCACCGTCATCCTCGTCGGAGGGGTATCGCGCTCAACAAAATTGGGTCTGCGATCTTCTAGCGACCGGTAAAGAAAAAAGTTGTTCGACGCCCCACAGTCTACTAGGGTACCAAGTGACAAATCTTTTGTCAATCCTTACCTCAAGATGGTGAGGGGTACTTTTTCATAAAGTGCAGAGGCACACAGTACTTGTGATTCTGGAGCAACTTTCATTAAGAGGCACATTTTCTTGAGGTTGCAGGATTATGAGGGCGCTCCACCCCTACTGTTCCAGACCGTTTTTTGACAGTCCACTACGCTTTTGCAATTTTGCAACGAAATTGGACCCGCGTCGTTTGCCCTTCTTGACAAATGGTCTATCAGCCCGCTCAGTGTTTCGAGATACTGGGCGTAGTACGCTACACTCATTAGCGTGGTATCCCAACCTCTCATATCTATTGCACTCCTGCGATCGATTTTTGTCTGAAAAGCAAGGTCTCTCGCTTTCAACATAACAGAGGTCCATGGGTTCTGGACCTACGACTTCTTTTCGTCTTGGAGGGCGATATGAGCCCGAACTAGCATGAGCCTTTCTGAAGCTATTTTTTTTATCTTCCTGTTCCACAACTGATATCGCTTCTTTCAGCGTATCCAGTTCTAAGCGTAACAGGTGAGGCTTGACGGGACCACCTCCATGAACACAGTGAATAATGTGTGTTCGTGAACCGGGTTGGCCGTGATACAACTTACAAGCAGTCGTATGTGTTAAGCGTAAGTGTGCACGTCACGCTTACCCTGCTTGAGTTTCGGGAGCTCTGATCGATCCCTGAACTCAGCATTTGGAGGTTCAATTATTTGTATGAGCCGAGTCTTGAAGGTATCCAATTATCCAAACGCATATGTATAATGCAACTTGAGCCCTAATGCCCAGGTTTTGGCACGTCCAGCCAGGTTCGACTGAACAAATGCTACTTGTATTTGCTCATGTGATGAGCCCTTATGGCGTCGTCCAGCTCGACGAACCATCTCAGCAGGATGCCTTCCTCGACTCCTCAGTGCTTTAAAATGTCTATCTTCAAAATTTCGATTCGACGCGCGTACGTTGCCCCGGGAATAGCAGCACGTACCTGCTGTTGTCTCAACAGTTCGAACTGTTGAGCACCCTGTTATCTCAACAGCTTTGCCTGTTGAGAATCTTGCTGGTAAAGGAAGTTCACTTTCTCCCGTGACTCGTCAAGTTTGTGTTGCATGAACTTGGCGACGGCGGCATGCTGCCCAACTCCTGTCCAGTGCGGACAGAATGGCAGAGACGGCATGTTCACCCACGGTCTAACCCATTCGTTTGACCGCACTCCATTCGATGTCACTCATACAGGATCAGCTTAACGCGTGGCGTGAGATCTGACACTGTCATCATCCGACATGTTCATATTGGATGTAGGGGTTGCGGTCTTTGGACGGACTACAAAGTGCTACCAGGTGCAACGGGTCACTTGTCACTAGTACTGCTTCAGTGCAAGTGAACCTACACTGACAACGGTGTACGTAGTGCCGCGCGTCACGTCACGTACACTGTGTGTGCAGAGAAAAGCTAGCTAGTGAACGAAGCGTTCAATAGGAGTAGAAAGTGAAATTGTATTGAATATGAGCAATTCCTGATTATATGTACCTATGTTTTAGTCCTAACTTAATCACATTCATCCACAACAGTGTATGCTAAAGTCTTGCTCACCACTCATTGCGCGCGTCCATCGTTGTTTGGACCGCTAGAGCTGGCTGATGTGATGGCCTAAATCAGCGAATTGGTAAGTGTTTCTGAATATTACCCCTTCTGGTAATATCGACGAACATTACCAACCTTTATGATAACATTCTAATTTACAAGTATCAAGGTTGATCACGTGTAACAGGCTCACCACGTTACAGATTAGATACCAGCAAGTCATGGCTTCCTCTTGCCGCTTAAGTCGCTTGTTGCCGTTGTCATCGTGGATTCGAACGGTATGGGCCGCTGATATTTGCCCAGAGATACAATCATGCTAGTACACTATGTCCAAAGCTTGTATGTCGATATGTACGATTTTATTTGTCGTAGTGGCCAAAGCAGTTATTTGTATGTGAGGTCCTTCAACGTCTACAAAATCGCGATCGTTACCTCAAATTAGGTTGTTTCTACCAGTAAAGTACACCACATATCTGAATAGCACCTGTTAATTCTCTCAAACTAATAAAGCAATGGATAAAAGTATAGGTGTACGATATTACCTGGCGCAGAGTGAAGACGAACGAAATCAGGTGCAGAAAACATCATAGCTCCAAGTCCAAGTTGCAGTCTTTCCGTCATGAATCAGACGCACAAGCTGACTGCCGCACAACTACGTCGCAATTGAACCCAAGAATGCGCGACCTGAATCGCAATGTCCCAAACGATCCCAACCCGGACCCACATCCGATCCAAAAAATAAATGAAACACAAGAGCTGAAAAACACATCAGCCGACAGTTTCGTCCTCCCGACGCCTGGGTCAAGTCAATCAATCCAACCAAAACCAAAACCAGTTCGTTCCCAGCCCAAATTCCAGTGTCGAAAACATGTTCAGCGCCTCATTTGCGCTCGTCACGCTCGTGCTCTTCGTCCCCGTCACGCTCGTGGCGCTCTTGTTCATTTGTTTTCGAGCTGGAATCGATCCTGACAACACGCGACGAGGAGCTCCGCACACTCTTTCGCATCGGACCTTCCTCCTCGCGCACGTTTTCGCTGGGAACGAGGAATCCGGTTTACTCGAACGACGTCGAGGCAATAACGACCTCGTGCGGCTCTTTTACCGCTTCTGGCTGCCGAAACATCTCTCTTCTGCTGCCGATGCCAAGGCGGTGGTCGTCGTGCTCCACGGCGTGAACTCGCACAGTGCGCGCAACAACAAGTTCATGGTCGAGGTCCTGCAGCACGGCTTCCTTGTCGCAGGTATCGACCACGAGGGCATGGGACGCAGTGATGGCCGACACGGATACTTCTCCAGTGTCCACACGCTCGCGGACGACGCGATTGCGTTCGTGGCGCTCGTGAAGGACAAATATCCGGGCAAGAAAGTGTTTCTGCTTGGCGCGTACGTGGCTGTAGAGCAAGTGAGCCGAGCTGCTGGCAAAGGTTGTAGTACCCTCTAGAAGCTTTGCCAGCAGCTCGGTTGTGTGTGCAGAGAGAGAGAGAGAGAGAGAGTGCTGCTGTTGTACACGTGCTGATGGATGCTGGTTTTTGTGTGCTGGTGGCTGTAGATCGCTTGGCGGCCTGGTCGTCCTGCATGCACTTAGTAAAGGCGGTCCGAAGCTCGTGGATGGTGCGGTCATTTTGTGTCCAGCTACCGAGATCCATAAGGCCTCGCGGCCGTCTTTTGTCATGGAAACTATTGGCAGGATGCTGCATGTTTATATGCCAAAGTTGCCGCTTGTGACGGCCAACAGCGGCCATAACAACTCGCCGGAAGTCGCGGCACTTGCAACTGCAGATAAGCATGCGGATCCTCTGTACTATCCCGGCAAGATGCGCATTGGTACGGGACTAGCTCTTCTTGAAGGTATTAAGAGCATTCAAGACAAGCTCGAGTTGATTGAGACACCGTATCTGCTGCAGCACGGCATGGAAGACAGGGCTTGCAGTGTCACGGGTTCAGCGGCACTTCACTTAAAGACGCGCAGTGCCGACAAGACATTCAAGACGTACGAAGGAGCGCACCATGATCTAGCCAGCGAGCCACCTCGCATCCGTGATGCAGTGGTGCGCGACTTTGTGGCTTGGTTAGAAGACCGTGCCAAGCCGTAGTCGATGCGAGAGCATCTCAAGCGTCAGTTGGTGATTCTCAGACGCTCACGACCTGATGATACAGGGAAAGAGATGCTCGTGAGGGGTCGTCTCTACTTCATTCAATTTGATCGGCCGGCAAGTCCCGTACAAATTGGAGGAGTTCGAGGACGCCGAATGGTCGACATCAATACAGTCCCAAGTGGTGAGAGCGTTGTTCCTGTCAAACCTTCACAGCGTTTCGTTAGCATGCTTCAAAGACCAGTAGTAAGCAACTCAAACATCCATTACGCTCTGTCATTCACATCTCTGCAGACACGTCCCAAGCAAGATCACCAAGAAGCACAGCAACTGGAGATAGACAGCGAAGCGAGAGCAATCAAGAACCCAAATCGGCGCTCTCACTTGCCGTCAATCTTGCCGTCCATGGCATCGACCAGCACAACCCGCTTCGCCATGTACGTGTGCAGGAACTTGCGTCCGTACGCATAATACGACACACTGTACCAGATCATACAGCCAACCTGCAGAACAAGCAGCACAATCACTGTGAACCAGTGCGAGGGCCAGACAAAGGCCACGACGATCGTGAGTGCCAAAGCACCCATCCAAGCACGGCCTGCTTTGCTTCGCTTGCGCGAGAGCATGCGCTTCCGAAGATGTCCCGGTCCCATGATAAAAACGAGGCTGGAAAAAGTAGCCAGATTGCTCAGCGAGTAGAAGAACGCGTAGAAGCGCACATGGTGCGCGCTCGTACACAGCATGACTGTCGCTGCAAAGGCAAAGAGTCCACTGAGCGCATAGCAGCCAATAGCCCCTAGCAGACGCTGGTTCAGCGTCATGTGGTCGAGCTCGTCCCCAATGTCGTCCAGCAGACCGTCCTCCTCGTCGCTCGAGTCCTTGCGACGTCCCCGTTTGACCTTCTTCTCCGAGCCCTTGACCTCAATGTGAACAGCCTCCTTGGTCGAGTGCAAGAGGCTACTGCCACTGCTCTCTGTAGCGTCCCTGGTCTCCTGCACCGCCTTGTTCACGCTGTCTCGCGTCTCTTTCATCGCCTTGTTCACGCTGTCTTTCGTCTGTTTACCGGTCTTTTCAATGCTCTTCTGCGCCTTCTTGCTCGTCTTCTCCAGCTCCTTCTGCATCTTCTCCATCTCCTTCTGCGTCTTCTTGGAAAGGTCCTCGAGTTTCTCGCTCGCCTTCTTGCTCTGTTCCTTCAATTGGTCCATCATCATCACTGCCCAGTTCCGCTCGCTCTCTCCGCTCCAGTTGTTGACCGTGTGAAAAGCAGGATGATGGATGGATACTCGGATGTTCTGATTCGCCTGTAGAAATGACGTTAGGTGCGGTTTTGGGGCCAACTCAACAGACTAGTTTGTGTGGCACAAGTCGAGGCACAACTAGCATCGGTGGCATAGATGCCTGTGTAACCGGACGCGTACTTAGCCTGTTTGGAGTCAGGGTACGTTTCTAATTGTCGGTGCTAGAGTGGCATCGCTGCGAATGAAATCGCCTGGAGAGACAGCTGTAGAATGACTGCGACACTTGACGAGAAGTCGGCAAACTGAATAGTGCGCACATAAACCAGTTCCTATGAATTCTACATTTTTGTACTGAATTTGGACTCAGACGAGTTGTCCTCACGTTGCAGTCAGCTTCAATACGTGCTCCAACTTGCGTCAGCTCAATGTCTACCCGCATCAAGACCACGCACGAGTTAAGATACAGTGACATTCGTCATGGTATAAACTTCCGTAAAGAGTATCTACTAGCGAGCTAGCAAGTTAGGTACTGACGTACTTGGCTGCTTTGGACCAGCCGCTCCGGAGGACGGCACGACCATAGGGGACGAGCGAGGCGCCATACCAGAGCATCGCAGCATACTGAACAAGCACGAGCAGCAGCACTAGCGGGCCTGCCTTTGGAAAGCCAAAGGCAATGACAAGCGTCGCAACCATAGAGCTCATCCAGACACAGCAGGCCAGACGCCGAACGGGCATGCACATGACTCGGAGCTGCCTCATTGGCCCCACCAAGAAGAGCGAGCTGCCAATGCTGCAGACAGCTCCGAGCGTGTAGAAAAATGCAAACTGTTTCACGTGCTTCGGTCCGCCCCACATCATCAACGTGGACAACAAGCCGCACAACGTGCCAAAGCCGTAGCAGCCGAGCGCTCCGTAGAGTCGCTGGCGCCTAGTAAGGCCGCACTCGTGGCCCAAGTCACCCAGCAACAACCCCTCTTTCTCTTGACCAGAGGTGGTGGCCTCACATGTCTCTCCTCCTCCTCCTCCTTCTTCCAAGTCGATGCTCCCCCCGCTCTCGCTGGTCGTCGTCGACGCAGCTGCAGACGACGCAGTCGAGAGCTTCCCCAGCGGCGGCAACTTGGTGTGCAGCACGCCAACTTTCGCCTGCAACGCTGCAGCGCCTTTCTGCCGTGCGGAATGGAACGAACCGGCAAGCGACAAGTGCTGGGCCACGTCGTGGAGCGACTCGGCCGTGTGGCGCACGAGAGTCGTCGCTTGCGTCGACTTCGCCTTGACCTGCTCGAGCATGATGATGTTCTGTGCTTTAGTTTGGGGGTTTTGCACGGCATCACCTTCTTTTGACACAAAACGAGGTGCTTCACCAAGTGCCATCACCCGCTTGGCTTTTCAACGAATCACACGTCGATTTACTCTGTCAAGTTCAATTACCTCCCCGCTAATTGCTACTACTACTACGACTGCGACTGCGAATACTACTACTATTTTCCACCGTCGTGTATCATTATTAGAACTACTACTAGTACTATTATTGTTGTCGTGATTATTATCTCGCCATGTCGGACTCGGAAGAGTACGAGTACGAGTATGACAGCGACGAGGAGCTCGATCACGACGAGCAGACGTCGACAGGAGCTGCTAAAGACGAGGAGAACGAAGGCGCTGGAGAGCAGCAGCGCCGTGTCGCTCGGGATGCGCAGATCGCGCTCGAGAACACGTTCTACGAGGCCGAAGATTTCTACCATCGCGGCGACTGGACACAGGCGTTTACGTATTTCGAGCGCGTGATTGCAATGGAGAGGGAGACGAGGCAGCAGAAGGAGTGCAAGTGGAGCTTCCCGGCGCTGGAGCAATTGGTGAAGATCTGCGTCCGTCGGTGTGAGTGGGACGAGATGCTGCGGCACTACGAGCAGATGCTGGAACACTTGGCGTTTGTAACGAGGAACGAGAGCACCGAGTCGATCTCGTCTATCTTGGATGTTGTATCGGACGCATTAGGCAAAGAACGGAAAGGAGGGGCCAAGTATACGTCGAGAATGTACGAGTTGACGCTGGAGAAGCTCAAGGACGTGAATAACGACCGACTGTGGTTCAGCATGAACACCAAGCTGGGGAAACTGTACTTGGACATGCACAACTTTGACCAGTTGCAAAAGCTGTTGCAGCAGCTCTATGCATACTGCCAGACGTCGGATGGAGAGCAGGATAATGCGAAAGCGACGTCGCTGTTAGAAGTCTACGCTCTGGAAATTCAGGTATGGAAGCTAGCGACGCATGTTTGCACGAAATGCTAACAGCGGTCAGTGTACGTGTAGCTATGTGTCGCTACCAAGAACAGCATCAGAATGCGCGCCGTCTACCCAAAGACACTGGATCTGGACGCAGCTGTGGCTGATCCGCGAGTCATAGGGTGCGTGTTAAGCTTGTTGCTATGTCCTCGCAGTAGATGATTGCTGGATGGCGTTGATGTATGTTGCACAGCTTTATCCGTGAGGAGGGTGGTAAAATGTACTTGGAAGAGAAGGAATGGATGCTGGCGTATAACGAGTTCTTTGAGAGCTTTCGCAATTATCAGGAAGCTGGTAACTCACGCACAACGGACTGTCTGAAGTATGTCGTGCTAGCCAGTATGTTAGCCAGCTCGAATATCAATCCTTTTGATTCGCGAGAAGCAAAGGTGTATCAAGATGTGGAAGAGGTCGGCGCGATGCTGCTGCTGCGGAGTGCCTATGAAGCCAACGACATTGTGCAGTTTGAGAAGGTGTTGAAGAACCCAAGCTACAAACTGCTGAGTGATCCGATAATGAACCAGTGCTTGAACCCGTTGCTGCGCAATATACGATGTCAAGCTATGAAGACCATTGTACGTCCATACCGAACGATCCGCGTTGAGAGCCTCTCAAAGCGGATGAACATTACGACGGAGGATGTCGAAGATATTGCTATTGCCCTCATTCAAAATTGCGAGCTAGACGCCAAGATTGACCAGAGCAGGGGGCTTCTTGTCTTGCAGACGCGACAAAAGTGCGTCAAATTCGCTTGCACTCTTTAGTTGTGGCTGCTTGATTTCTGACATTTCTTTCTGTTTCTGGTTTATAGAGCCCGAGGTGCTCACAAGACGTACGATGCGTTGGATCGATGGACTCGAGCTCTTGCCTCGACACATGCATCGGTTGCCGCGCGGGTACTTGCACCACCGTGACATCAGAAGATGTAATCTTGTGCAATTTAACTCGAGCAATCGAGATGGTGTACTATTGGGGTCAATCGCGTCTTCTCATTTCATCTGTCTTACTAGAATTGCCCGTCCGGCAGCCGGTCAGCATCGAGGCTTCGTCATCATGCAACCCGACATTGGTTGTTGTGTTCAGTGATATAGCTTGTCACTGCTTCGTCGGATGCTGCAGATGGCACTACCTGGTACATAGCACATTTAGCCAAGCCGATGAGAGAAACCGAATCGGACACTACTATTGTCTCGCAATGACGTGCGTCAGTTCGGCTGTCCGAGAGAAGCGCCGATGGAACCACATTGAACGCCGCACCAAGCAGCGCCTGCGTCGACAGTACACTGTAGTTTGTGAGGATACTGATGTTATCAGCGCCAACAAGAAGTGTCAAAGCCTCTATCAGCTCCTGACGCTGAATCGCAGCACCGGTCGGTACGTCCTCGACCTTGTCATCGCTGCTCGTCGTTCCTAGGAGAACATCCATATCCACAAGCGCAAACAGGACAGGTACCGACAGCGGTGTAGCAGCGAAGCGCACAACCGAGTCGGCTATGACATGACGACTCTGGACAAGCTTCAACTCGCAGTCCTTGCCGCCAAGATCAAGGGTGATACCAAGCACGTCTTGAACCGTGGAAATTACATGTTCCAATGCCCGCTTAAAGTCGTCCGGAAAGCGATAGAGCCACGCTAGCAACAGAGCAGCAAACAAGTCGCCCGTGCCAGTATAGTAACTGTCAATCCACGGAAAGCGCACTTCGTACTGCTCGCAATAGAGTGCAGTGTCCATGGCCCCGCTAGGACGGATCTTGCTGCCAATGACCACAAACTCTTTCGGCAAACTCTCGGCGGCCTCTGCTACCTCCTGAAAACTGCTGATCACCACGACTTTTGGTCCCATAATGTGCAGCTTTTTACACGCTTGCATGGCATCAGGTACCGTCCGAAGCTCCATGTCTGCTAACACCTCGCTCTCATACTGATTTGGAGTCAAAACGTCGCAGATCGGCAAAACCTTCGACCGGTACAAGTCCACTTCCAAACATCATACATATTCGAAAACATGAGATTGGTGCGAACATTTCTACACATCATTGACCGGAACGTACCCATTTCTATAGGGACATACAGCCTGCCCCGATCGCCCAGTACGGGGTCACAGACGTATACAAGACGCTCGGCATGTGTCTGAGCAGCTCGGAGACGCTCGTATACACGCACAATTGCAAGCAACAGAGACACGGAGCCCACATAGCCAGTAAGCAAGTGCGTATACGCATCTTGCAGCAGACCATTAGCCGCCATGCCGTCCAGAAGGTCGTGTAGCTCTTCGCCTGTGAGACGGCGACCCGCGACCTGCTTGTAGCCAGCATGGTTGGAAAACTGCACGCTATTGATAGGGTCAACATCCATGCCCAGGAGCTGCAGCGGAAGCACGGCACTCTTGTTACCAACGTATCCTTGGACGACGTGCGACTGGATACTCAACACGCGGCCGCCTCTCTCCGTCTGCTCTGCCATGGGTGGATGTATGCAGTCTCGGTACTACTGAAGACGCTTCGAGCGGATGTTGTGTGTGACACACAAGTACGTATACAAAGTCTCGACACAAGGGTGGAACAAGGCACAACGTCGAGGCTGTGGGAATCATTGGATATAGAAATCCCCATGTTTCGTGTGAAGTAGTTGTTGTCGTTGTTGACACACTCACGCAGGCATTGCCACTGAATAGAAAAATGCAGGGGTTACATCCACAGCCTGTCGTGCTTTTTATCACGGCTCGATGACAGGATAAAGAGAAAAGCGCTGGCATTCTTGCTCTCTTACAGACTCGTCAATAGTGACGGCACATTGCGGTAGAAATGTAGAGGGACGGCAGATGCCGGTCGAAACGCGAAAGGGGGAAGGTCCCATCTCGTAAAGACTTCCTTCATACAGACGACGGCGCTTTTGTGACACTGCGTAGGACAGGGGAATATGGAGGAAGGGGCTCGCGCATAGCGGGGTCCTACCATATGCTGCCAACAATTCAGCAAATGGAGAGTGGATTACCACCGCCTGGACGAACGCAACCTCTGCTGTTGCTTCTGGTCCAAGACAGTCTTTCAATCCGGTTTGGGTTACCTAGTACAGGTAGATGCAGCCCTTGTTTTGCTGCTGCTGCTGCTAGTTCCTGAGTGACGGTACCTACACTTTGGACATGCTACCGCCTTCTTGTCGATACCTTCACCAGGACGTCCCACTGAGCTCGCACTGAAGAGTGTACCTTAGCACTACGTTCAACAGCAGCAGCTGGCAAGAAAGCTGGTGACCCGCCTACCTGTGTGGCGTCCTTTGCGCCAAGACTTGCAGTTTACTTGGCTGTACATTGGCTACAAGTGTCGTGACGAACGTGTATGCAATGGGTCGTCAATGAGACCGCAAGCAGGCGGCAGTAAACTTGACGTTGACATGAGTTCTTTCCAGTGCGCACCGAGGTCGTGCGTTCCCTCCTTGCTGGCAGTACATGTAGGTACCTTACAGGTCATGGTCATCTGCTGCGACACGTGCTACGTTTGGGCTTCCAGCTGTCGCGACTGCTGTCCGGTTGTCTGTCAGCAGATGGAGACTGGGCCTTTCAGCAGTCAGAAACGCGAGCCACCTCTTCTCTGAGTGCAAAGGAGCCGGACTCATCTCAAAAGACGTGGAAAGAAACCTCGCGCACGTCGTGGATAAGTAGAACCATCGGGTTGGAAAATACGCACAGCTGGTTCTACAGCACTCGTACGCCCACGGTCATGAACGACGGACTGTTTGTTATGGAGCATTACGGCATTGGCCTTCTCACCGCTCGCAAGTCGGACCTTCATTTCTCAACTTGGTCTAGAAGCAGAGAGAGAGAGAGAGAGAGCTGACGAAGCTTGGAAAGAGGGATACAGAGTATGGGCAGAGCTCGTGGTTTGCTGCTACTTTCTGCAGCTGCGACGTTTGCCATTACAGCAGCAGGTACGATCAACAATACACTTGCTCGCCCACTCACACCCATCCACCCGTCTCTTCACTTGTGGCAATGTGTCATCCACTAACCTCCTTTTGTGTTGTAGTTGATAGCTGGACAGACCCGACGGCATCGAACTTGACGCTCTCACCTGCTGCAAACTTGCTCATCTTGACACGAAACAACTACCCGACGCCCACGACCTCGTCCGAGACTGTCACTGATGATACAATACCCAGCAGGATGCCGGATACAAATCCGCCAGTTGTCGCCTACACTCCAGCTACGACCGAAGCGAACCCACCACTTGTCGCCGACACGCCAGCTACGACCGCTCCTTTGATCCCCCGTGCCTCGGACTTTGACGCAGCAATGGCGTCTGAAATCGAGGAAGAGACGGACGAAAGTTCTCCTAGTGCTGTGGCAACACCCAGTCCGAGATCGCCACCTGGCCACAGACCAAACTCTGCCCCGGTGACTCACCCGAATGTTACGACGCCGCCGCCGCCAGCGTCTTCTCCCACGAAGTCATCCATAGCTCCTGTGGACACGCTCAACAATCGCAATGGAGCGGTGAAAGCAGGCGACCACTCAGCTGGCATGGCTACTTTTTTGCCAGTCGTTTTCGGGTCCGTCGCTTGTGTCGGAGTACTGGCGGCAGCAGTCATGATCAAGAAGAGACGTAGCACGGAGAAGGGCGAGGAGACATGTCGACCCGACCCCGATTGCGAATATAGCGGCGCAGACCTCACGCCTGATAATCGTGCGCTTCGTATCGCGCAAGTAGGATCGCCACCCATTGCTCGGAAGGCAGCAGTAGTAGTGGCAGCACCAGCTGCTACTGGTGCCAAAGACTTGGCGGCATCGACTGCAACTGCTGACTATGTGCGAACAAACTCGTCCGTTTCGTCCACGTCTCCATTCGGGAGTACCCGGTGCAAGGTGCGCGTGAGTTCTCCGAATCAGGGCTTCTTCGCAAATAGAGAGACGAATATGGAGTTCCAAGCTACACGCACCCTTCGTGGAGAAGGAAATGACGCGACGCTTGCTTCCGATCGCGCTCGGGTCACTTCATCTCGCTCGACTCTTCAATTGCAGCAGTAAATAACGCGGAGCCATTTGCACTTCGTCCGCTTGTCCATCACTTTTTTCTTCCAGCTTGCTTGATCTCGAGCGAGTGCACGCGTGATAGTCCTGTCGAATCAACCCCTGAACATCTCAAACGATCCACGGCAACAGACGCACACGAAAGCAAACAACCGAGAAAAAACATGCTGATTCCAATCGGCAATCCTCCCGCTCTTGCCTAACGCTCCACTCTTCCTCTTCCCCCTCTACTTGCTACAACGTCGTCATGCCTTCGTAGTCCATTAAGACGGCCACCTCGGCACGATGTTGCGATACGAAAATCCATCGAAGAATGGAGTATTCAGAGCCTCTTTGGCTGTCACTCGGTTGTCGGGGTCCAGCACCAGCATGAGCTGCAGCAGCTCGAGCAGACCACTCTGAGCGTCCTCGCGAGAAATCATCTCTGCCAGCGATCGCATCCTCCGCACGTGATCGACGCTTTCGTCACTCGACGAACCAGCAGGCCAATTGAGCCGCCCACGACGGAAAAACTTGGACGAGGTCGAGTGTTTCGATGCCTTGGCTGCCATTTTCACGGGAAGCGGTCCGATGCAGCGCTCCATGAGAGCAAGGTGTTCCATGTTCTCGTGCGTTGCAAACAGCAGTTCACCCAGGTAGAGCTCTGCAATGATACAACCGGCGGACCAAATGTCCGACGGATAACTCCATCCGAGCCCGAGAATCACCTCGGGCGAACGGTATTGACGCGTGTTGATAATGGAGCTCTTTGACTCGTCTTCGTACGTCGCACCACCAAAATCAATAAGCTTTACCGCGTTGTTTGCCGGGGGACGAAGCGACGGTCGTCCAGTGTCAGCATCAGACACATCGCGCTCGCGCTTCTTCCACTGACGCCCATTGGACCATCGTTCGCGTCCGGACGACCCCTCCCGCGAGTCAAACGACGACGTCGATGACGGCGATGACGAATCACACGAAAGCCTTTCCTCTTCGTCATCCACCAGCAGGATATTCTCAGGCTTGAGATCGGTATGAATAAGCCGGATACTGTGAATAAACTCCAGCGACGTCAAGAGCTGCCACGCATAAGCACGGATGCAGTGCAGCGGGAACGGCTTGTAGTCGTGATTTTTCAAATAGTCGTACAACGAGCAGCCGAGCCGCTCAAACACCATACACACGTGGCCCTTGTACTCAAGCCACTTGAACATGCGGACACAAAGCGACTCGTTGTTTTTGTCCTTGTCGTTCACATCCTGCAAGATAGCCGCTTCGATCTTGGCCGACTCGGTGTACTTGTCTACCTTGCGAACAACTTTAATGGCCACCACAATGTTGCGCTGCTTGTCTAGACACTCGAGCACACGGCCAAATGTACCCAGCCCTGCTTCCCGAATGATCTTGTAGCGGTTGGCGATGTATTCACCAGGTTTACCAGCATAGCTGCCCACTGTATCATCGTGCGATGCACTGTCCTCACTGCCATCTTTCGGTGTCGCAAGCGGCGGCACCACCAGCGACTGCCGCTCATGATATGGCTCGTGTCGTCTTGACTGCCGCTGCTTGTGCTTGCCACGCGGCGAGCGACGACGCGCCTTGTAGTGTTTCTCCGGACTCTTGCGTCGTCCACGTGGTTGGCTGTTGCCACGCGACGGGCGCGACTTTCGGCCATTGTAGCTGCAACAGCAGCAGCAGCAAAAGTCTAGATTATCAGTACGAACAATACTAGGAGCCTCCAAAAGTCCATGTAATCTAGATAGGTGTAGAAAATAACCCCGTACCGTTGTTGACGATACCGGTGACTTCCATTGGACCCCGACCGCGACCGCGCGTCTGAATAGTATCTTGGTTTACGGGAATCCGACCGGGACCTCGATCGCCCTTGCGCCCTCGAGTCTATAGAATGAAAAAAAAAACACAGAGAATCAGCAGTAAATTCAGTACTACCACCTCCACCAATAACCCTTAGAAAGACCCCGTGTCTAGAATGAAAACCCCAGCAAAACAGACAGTCATTGAAAAAGTCCCTTCTTTTCGTCAGTTACCTGTTTTCCGCCGCGTGGAGCGACTGCGTGGGCTGTTCCTCGTGTCGTAGTCCGAGTCGTGGACCGAGCGTCGAGGCCGACGTCGGTGCATCGGAGGCGGCCGCGAGTGGCGACGTCGTAGGTGGTACCGTAGACGAGAAGACACGGGACTGGAGCTCCGACTGCGTCGGCGCCGTCCCGTTGAATCGTCTGCTGCGCGTCGCCGCCGCTCCATCGACCGAGTCCAGTACTGGCAACGAAACCGGAAGCTACGGGAGCGTCTTTTGTCGCCAAAGGGAGATGAAGTGGTAGTATAAAGTGGTCGTGTGTGAGGTGGTAATATGAAGTACGCGACCACAAAGATGCGACATAAAAAAAAACCCTCGTGAAATACGAAAAAGTAACAAAACGAAGTAACTAACATCCGTGGGTGACTCGCCACACTCTGACCACATTCGTCCAACCGCCGCCACCTCCAACACTAAACATGACGACGCTCGTTGTGGGCAAGAACCTGCCCGGCAGTCGCAACGACGAGTTCTTTAGCTGGGAAGAGACGACCGGGGACCGCAGCGCCGACGTGGGCGGTGCCTTTGACGTGGAGCAGCTGATCCAGCGCCAGATTCGCTTCGACCCCACGGCGCTCTCGCTGATCTACGATGTGCCCGAGGCCCAGGATACGTACTTATGGCAGTACGAGCACTTGCGCCAGATCATGAAGGAGCTGAACGTGCTGGTCGCGCGTCTCGATGGCCATTGCACGCGCGAGTCGTGTCCGGTCATGAAAGCCACGGACGAGTGGGTATTTCTATGTGCAGCCCACAAAGCGCCGAAAGAGTGCTGTGCGTTTGAGTACATTGTGCACACGATGGATAATGTCAATACGTTGCTCACGAGCAGTCGCGTGTTCCCGTCGCGGACGAACATCAGCTCGAATGCCACGCAGTACTTCCAGTCGGTCTCACGAAGACTCTACCGCATCTTTTCGCACACGTACTTTCACCATCCTGAAGTCTTTAGCGACTTTGAGGACCTGACGAACTTGTGCCATCGGTTTGTTTACTTTGCGCTGCACTTTTGCCTCATTCCAAAGAGTTTGCTGATCATTCCTGACATTGGCTGACAGAGAGGAGGAGATTGTGAGTTGAGTCAGTTGAAAAGAAGACAGGAGCGTGGTGAGAGACCATGACAACGTGTTGCTTATCGCTTGCTTTCTTCTTCTTCTTTTCCTTCTTCTTCTTGTACGATGCACAAAGGTCATCGTCGCCTGCTGCCATGACTATCTATTGTCACTGTTATCAGTCGATGGCACAACCCCCTCTCACCACGTCCAGTCAACACGAGACCGACAAGCATCAGAGCTTTCGCTCAGCCGACGAGACGTGCATCTCGCACGTAAAATACCTCAACCACGCCGTCATCACGACCGTCGCAAGTTGTTGAGCCGCTTTTCAAGATCGCTCAGTGCCGAGTCTGTCGACTCGCCGTCCCCTGCAGCCACGGGGGCAGCAGGCAGCTGTACTGCTGTTGCCGCAGCTTTTCCACAACAGCAGCAACCGGTGCCATGTGCGCTGTCGGAGCTTCCGGCACTGCTCCCGTCATGTCGATACCTATTTCGTCCAGCACCTGTCCAACAATCTTGTCCTCCTCTTCCTCGTCCTGCTCGGCGTCCATGACGTCGTCGATTGTATCCCCAACGGTCTCGTGCGTCATCTCCATCTTTTCGCTTTCCTTGGTGTATTCCATCATGATTTGGTTTAGTCTCGGCAAGTTCATGGTCGACGCCATCGCCTTCATCGCGGTCGTCGTGCCCTGCAGCGCTGACGTCATGGCTTCAGCTGACTGCGCCGTGTCCAGTCGCAGCGAAACCGCCTGCAGCTGGGACCGCATCGTGTAGAACTTGGTCACGTGCTGTCGCGTGCGTACTAGGTCTTTGGCCATGATCTTGACGCTGGCGATTTGCCCCTTCTTTCGCCATCTTCTTGATCTCGAGAATGAGCTTCTTCTCCTGCAGCTGCAGGTTCGTGCGCTCTCGGTCGAGCTGCCGTACGGCGCGGTTGATCTCGCGCTTGTTCTCGCGCAGCTGCTCCCTCAGCGTCTTCTTCGTGCCGAGTGCGTTGCCCATGGCGACGAGAACTCGGGAGCGCTGCGGGTTGCGCGTTTGTACTGTGAAGTAACAGGCGAAAGGGAAAACAGAATCAGACCAGGTGTGAGCTATCGCTCCTCTTGAAAGAGCGGAATATAGTCGATGAGGGTGGTATTTCTACTGGGAGGTGTGCGACACAGGAAAGATACCGGTATACTGTTTTCCATTCACCTGCCGAGATAACTAACACCGATATTCCGCGTAGGTGTTCGAGCAGCTCACTACGAGAACCATTTTATTGCTAAATTGTAACAGGGTGAATCGTTACATAACAATTTATAAGAAATTGTTAATAGAATATAACTATAAAGAGTTATATTCTCAGAATATTGTCATAAGGACAATATTCTGTAGCACTTCAAGTAGTTCCTAATTGGTTGATATAGGCCATTATATCAACCAGACGAAGACTTGCCACGACAGACGCACGCAATGAGTGGTGAGCAGATAACTGATTTACACATTTGTATTTAGACATAGTTAGATGAAGATAAATAGTGATTTATTGCAGACATTAACTATTATAAATACAGTTCTACTTTTACTCTAACCGAGTACTCGCTTCTTCTTACCGTCTTCCTCTGCACGTACGAGTGTACGTGAAGTTACAGGGCACCGCCTTATTCTGTTATCAGAATAAGTAGCTTGTACTGTCACCAGTACAAGCTTCCAGGGTGCCCCGTTACACCTGGTAGCACTTCGTAGTCCGTCCAAGGACCGCGTTCACATCCAACATGAATATGTTGGATGATGAAGAATGACCAAAAGCTTTCACGCTACGCGTGACGGCTACTCCCATTTGAGCGATGTCGAATGGGATGCGGTTGAACGAATGGGTTCGACCATGGGCATCCATGCTGTTAGCGTCATGCTAGAGGGCTCTCAATAGAGATGCCCAACATGCTACTATCGCCAAGTTCATTCAAAATGAACTTGACGCAGGAACGCGAGAAAGTAGCCTTGCTTCACCAACAAGGTTCTCAACAAGCAGAGTTGTTGAGAGAAGCAAAAGGTGCTCAACAGTTTGAACTGTTGAGACAGCAGCAGGGCTGCTGCTGGCGGGTCGATGCACTCGCGTCGGCCCGAGACTTTGAAGATTGACATCTCAAAGTATAGGGGGTCGAAGAAGACTCCCTCTTGAGATGGTTCGTCGAGGTGGATGACGCCATAAGGGCGCGTCGCATCGACGACGGGGATATGCAAGTTGCATTTGCCCAGTCAAATCTGGCAGGACGTGCCAAGACTTGGGCACTGGGGCTCAAGCTGCACGACCCATATGCGTTTGGGTCGTTGGAAGTCTTCAAGTCGCGGCTCAGACAAACGTTTGAACCGCCTAGAGCTGAGTTCAGAGCTCGAACCGAACTCTTGAAGCTCAAGCAGGGTAAGCGTGATGTGCACGCTTACGCTCAACATATACGACATCTCACGAGTTGTATAAGTTCCAATCCGGTGGATGAACACACGTTGGTTTCGGTGTTCATGCAGGGTCTTGCGGATGGTCCCGTCAAGACTCACCTGTTCCGGCTTGAACTAGATTCACTAGAACAAGCCATTTCCATTGCGGAGCAGGAAGACTTCAGTCTGAGACAGGCTCGCGCCAGCTCGACATCATATCGTCAACCGAGACGATATGACAACAGAGGAATCCAGAGCCGATGGAACTCTGTTATGTAGAGAGCGAGGAAAGGCTCGCTCTACAGGCTACAAGAAGTTGCAGAGATGCAACAGATGTCAAAAGACAGGACACTACGCTTACGAGTGTAGTGCCCCTCGTCCAGTGTCTCGCGACACTGGGCGTAGTGACCGTCCACCCATGAGAAAGGGGCAGGGACGAGGGTCCGCAGTTGGTGCAAAGACGCAACAACAGGATGGACCGTCAAAAAACGGACAGGATCAGTAGGTGCCGGAGCACCCTGCTGATCCAGCAGCAACGTCAAGAGAATTTGTAGGCCTCTTGATGAAGGTTGCTCCCAACACACAGACATTGTGCGTTGCTGCTCTAGGTAATGAGATCTCACTCATTACCTTGGAAACTCGAAGTGACGAATAAGTTGTCCCTTCGAGCTCTAGTCGATTGTGGGGCGTCCAACAATTTTGTGCGACGCCAATCGCTAGAAGATGGTCACTTTAAATTCAGTGAATGTGACACACCTCCTACGAGGATGACGGTACGTCTTGCGACGAGCGCATCCGTAACCGTCATGAAGCGTATAGTGAAGATTCACTATACGCTAGAAAGATACCCAATACGACGATGACTTTATCGTATTGGATTTGGATGACAAATTTGATGTCATCCTTGGAATACCGTGGCTCAGAAGGTACGAACCACGGGTAAACTGGCAAACATCGGACAGTAACGATGCCTGCCGCTTGTTCATCAGATGGCCATCTGATGAACGTTTTGGAAGCGTCCACAAGCGTGTGGATGTACTACGAGTGAGTGCGATGGCCTCACTTGTGGTACGGTCGTTAGTACGACTGCACAAAACCTTAGTGTACCAAACGGTTACACTTCGGAGCAAAGTTCCGGCGGCTGTGAGGAAACACAGGCTGCGCCGAGAGGTCCACCACTCGAATAAGTCGAGGTGGACTGGGACAAAGATGTATCCCTAGAGGGGAACATCTAGAAGAGAAACAATCGATCGCTCAGGTTAAGCGGAAACGATAATCCTAGATCGACTGGAGAGTCTTTCGTAGAGGATCTCGCTGTGGTTGCGCAACCCCCCAGCTAGAGGAAGTAAAGGGAATAAGTCCCAAGATTACAAATACGGCGGAAATAAGTTCCCCGAAACCCGCGGGAATAAGTCCCCGGGAAGACGAAGGAATAAGTCCTTCGAAGCCTGAGGGAATAAGTCCCCAGGAAATGACAGAGACATTGAATGTCATAGTCAATAACGGATCATGTGTAGGCGCTTATACACTTGATCTGATTGCGCCTCCGAAGTTAACTTCGGAGATCACTCAGTTGCCAACGCTCGAACATAAAAGATTCTTGCGTGATCTGCGTAGTGGCAAAGTCAAGCAGATCTGCATACTCGTCGCTGACGACGAGTATGTAACCGACATAAGGTCAGCAACAGTGTTTACTGAGAACGAGAGAGAGTTCTCAGTAGTTCATCTATGGACGAGAGTGTCCTAGATGAAAAGACACGAATTGAGCGATATGAGTCCCAATCATGGGAATCGCTCAAGGGAAAATCCTCTCTATGAAGATTTGGTTGAATTCAAGGATGTATTCCCTGAAACTGTTCCGTGCGAATTACCGAGAAGGATAAAGGTATTCGACACGAAGTCGAGAAGCTTAAACCAGGCTCGAAGTACTGTGTCATGAAGCAGTGGCCACTGCCTCGTGGAACAAGTACTTGCGATCGACAAGTTCTTTGCCGATCGTTTAGCAGCGGAAGCCATGTGAGGGAATCAACTTCCCCACATAGCTCTCCGACCTTCTGTGTGCGAAAAGCAACAGGAGGGTGGCGGATAGTGCACGCGTTTAACAAATTGAACGCTGCAACGGTACCGGCTCAGACGCCGATACCGAGGAAGGACGTAATCATTGATGGTATGTCAAAGAGTACCATCTTTTCGTCCATGGATTTGATGGATGGCTTCTATCAAATCCTAATGCGAAAGAACAGGATATACCCTATACCGCAGTTAGCACGCCTAGCGGCATGCTCTGGGAATGGCTAGTAATGCCACAAGGGCTCAGTAATGCCCCTGCCACGTTCAACAGGTGTGTATCACATCTGTTGAGGCCAGTACGAGAATTCGCGCCGAGTTATTTCGATGACGTATTCATCCATAGTCGAGCTATGGATGGAAAGTCGGACGTTGAGGTTCACAAGTACCACGTCCGACAAGTTCTTACAATCATGCGAAAGCATCAATTGTATGCAAACCTCAAGAAGTGTATATTTGCAGCAAGCGAAATACCACTTCTTGGGTGCATCGTTGGTAAGAACGGTGTACGTCCTGATCCCGAAAAGATCAAGGCGATCACCGACTGGCCCGTGCCGGTCGATTTTAAAGGTCTTCGAAAATTCCTTGGGCTAGCGGCGTATTTGCATAAGTATTCACGCAATTACGCCGAGATGACTGTACACCTCTCTCGTTTGTTGAAAAAGAACGAGAGGTGGTTATGGAACGCTGAATGTCAACGCTCCTTTGAGGGTATCAAGCAGAGCTTGATACAATCCCCAGTCCTAGCAATAGCCGATCAGGACAGGCCATTTCATGTGGTCTGTGATGCCAGCGATTTCGCAATCGGCTGTGCATTAATGCAGTACGACCTTGAAGGCGTTGAACGCGTCGTCTGCTATCAGTCGCGTCAGCTGCAACCAGCTGAGCGGAACTATCCAGTGCATGACAAGGAACTCCTTGCCATGAAGTATGCACTCGCGAAGTTCAGAGTCTATCTATTAGGAGATAGACCCTTCGTTGTTTACACTGACCATGCGTCCTTACGCACGGCAGTGAACAGCCCGCACCTTTCACAACGAATGGCGCGGTGGTTGTCATTCTTTGCAGAATACAACTTTACGGTCAGTGTACAAACCAGGACGACTTAATGTCGTCGCTGATGCCACTCTCACGTCGTCCCGACTTTGAAACAGTCGCGAAACCCAACAGTGAGACAGTCACTGTTGCGGTTATGACGTCCTCAGTTCCATCTACAACGTTGTATGATGATGTGAGGCGGGCATACGCCCAAGATGGTGAGATAGTGAAGTTGTTGTCACATCTCTCCCAACCATCTCGAGAATCGTTGAAACGGATTGTCGTCTGCGTATCGATCTGCATCAGATCGATACACTACTCTCGTAACGGTTTACTGTACTATACAGCCGTTTCTGGTGACACACCACGTGTTGTCATTCCAGATGATACTGATCTGCGTTTGCGGATCATGTTCGGAATATCACGATGCTCCTATAGGGAGGAACATCGTGGCCCGAGGGAAGAAAACATATCTCACG